TTAAGAAAGAGAGACTGAGAGGAAAGGAAAGAGACTAATCTGGAAACACTTGGATCAGGCCACACCTGAATACCTACCTACTCCTGGATTTTCCAGTTACATAAACAAATACATCCCCTTTTTTGATGAGACCATTTTGAGTTGGCTTTCTAACTCAACACTTGTAACCAAAAGAATCCTGATTAATACAGCTCCCTCCCTTAAAAGTTCTTCCTCTCTGATTGGGATCGAGTCCTGAATCGGGCTCCCTGCTCAGCGGAGAGTCTGCTTCTCCCTTTCCCTGTCCCTGCTGCTCCCCGTGCCTGTGCTCGCTCTATCTCTGTCAGATAAATAAATAAAAAATCTTAAAAAAAAAGTAAGTCAAATCATGTTATTCCCCCCACCCCACCTAACCCCCCCCCCACAGGGCTTCCCTCCGTGCCCAGAGCCGCATACTAACAATGGCAGCTGATACTTACACAGCTCTCCTTAGTTGCCAGGCACTGGTCCAGGCACCTTTCTTGTAGAAACTCATGGAATTCTCATGACATGACTATGAGGCAAATTCTATTATCATCCCCATTTTACAGATAGGAAAACTGAGGTGCAGGGAGGTTCAAAAACTTGTCTGAGTTAACATGGATTAAAATCCAAACTTTTTATCAAGGCTGGAGCCTTCCACCCCCAGGTCTCTGCCTGGCTGCCCCTGTCTTATTAGTTGGGTCCTGACACCAATGTCACCCTCTGAGAGGACCTCCCACATCAGCCAGTTTATAATGCTCCCCACTCTTGATGACATCATCATTTTTTGCTTGCGTATCACTTAAGCATTTTATTAAGTTCTCTATTCACTTTCTTACATTCTTGCTTGTTTCTGTCTGGGCCCCATCCTCCCCCCAGGGGGTCAGTTCCTTGAGAGCAGGGACCACGGCTCTCTTGTGCACTTCCACCTTCCAGCACAGACGGTGATTCCACACCCTTCCACAAGAAGGGCTGCTTTAGCACCCCCTAGCGGCTCAATAGGGGAGGGGAAGAAGGGCAGAAAGGAAGAAAGGAGGGTTAGGTCCCAAGCTCCTTCAATGTCCTCCCTCCCAGGACCAGAGCAAGGATGGGTCCTCAGGGGGAGAGAATGGAGAACAGAGAGGAATGTGATGAAGATAGACACTGCAAAGGAACTCGGGGCCCTGGGAGGCCTCAGGGTGCAGGCTGGCTGCCCCCCACAATCCCCTGGGAGGATGTTTCCCTGATTAGGGTTGTCCGATTTGTCAAATAAAACTGTAAGATTCTCAGTTAAGTTTGAGTTTCAGATAAACAGCGAATCTTTTTTTGTTTAAAGATTTTTTTTATTTTTTTAAAGTAATCTCTACGCCCAACGTGGGGCTCTAACTCATAACCCTGAGATCAGGAGTCGCATGCTCTACTGACTGAGCCAGCCAGGCGCCCCGGTGAATCTCTTTTTAAGTATATGTCATGTACAATATTTGGGATATATTTATATTAAAAAATTGTTTGCTGTTTTTTTTTTTTTTTTTTAAGATTTTACTTACTTATTTGAGAGAGAGAAAGAGAGAGCACAAGACGGGGGAGGGTCAGAGGGAGGAACAATCTCCCCACCCAGCAGGGAGACCAACATGGGACTCAATACCGGGACTCCAGGATCACGACCTGAGCCGAAGGCAGTCGCCTAACCAACTGAGCCACCTAGGCGCCCGAAAAAATTGTTTGCTGTTTATCTGAAATTGAAATTTACAGGGCATCCTGTATTTTCTCTGGTGGCCCTACCCCAGATCGTCACTTTGTGCTAAGTGCAAAGGGAGATTCTTCTGAGCATTAGCCTTTTTTTTTTTTTTAAAAGATTTTATTTATTTATTTGAGAGAGAGAATGAGAGGGAGAGAGCACGAGAGGGAAGAGGGTCAGAGGGAGAAGCAGACTCCCCGCCGAGCAGGGAGCCCGATGTGGGACTCGATCCCGGGACTCCAGGATCATGACCCGAGCCGAAGGCAGTTGCTTAACCAACTGAGCCACCCAGGCGCCCTTAGCCTGCTTTTTTAATATGGAACATTTTGTTTTCACTCCTGAATAAGGAAGTACAGTCTCTTTATTAATCTAACAGAAGGAGAATGTCTGCGAAAACAGCAGCTTGTTAGAGCAGATTAGCTCCAAGGGGTGGGGTAAATACCATGGGGAGGGCAAGGCAAATGCCTTGTCCTGAAGTCCGAGCTGCTTTCAGAAGCTGCTTGTGCTGTTGCTTGGACTTTCCTTCCCGGGCCCATAGGTAGGCTTGAGTAGGCACTGTCGAAGAGGGCAGGAAGTGTGCACCGTTCAGCCTGCGAGGAAGAGATTCGCGGGAATGTGGGCTGATTCCGGTGACTCACTTCTTCAGTCGCACTGAGCAGCTGGTGGCAGGAACTCAGAGATGAATGGCACTGGGCGCTGCCCTGGAGGCTCTCCAGAGACGGAGAGATGGATCTGGAGCCCAGGACCAACAAGCGATGCCTGTCCCAAATCTGTTTTCATGGTTGAATCACTGGGAAGAATGCATTTCTTTCTCTCTCTTTCTCCTTCCTTATTCTTTTTCTCTTTTCTCTCCTTTTTCTCTCACCTTCTCAGCCTTTTGTCATCTTCAACCTACAAGTACTATAAACGGGAGATCACTAGTGCAGTCAGGCCTGGGACCTGCTCTTAGTCTCTCCAAGCCTGTGTCCCCCGCCCCATTACCCACTTCCGGCAACGCCTCTTGGAGTTCATTTGCATGCCCTTTTCTGATTGGTTGATACAAACCCTTTGCAGGCCCCTGACCCTCCACCCCTCTTGGCCGCTCCCCACCGTCCTGTTGGAGGCCCACAAAATGAGGCACCCTGGGAGTCTCAGACCTCTGACCTGTGGCCTTGTCTGCTCAGTTACTCCTCCGTAAAGTGTCAGTGGGTGATCTTTTATGGGGGATTAAAAGACCCAGATTCAAGGCTGGACTTTGCCACTGACAAGCAGTGTGATCTTGAATGAGTCCCTTTACCTCTGAGACTCAGTTGCCTCATCTATAAAATGGGAATAATTCTCCTGATTATATATGTATATATTAATCCCCACTCTTGATGACATCATCATTTTTTGCTTGCGTATCACTTAAGCATTTTATTAAGTTCTCTATTCACTTTCTTACATTCTTGCTTGTTTC